TAATGAGGAAAAAAAATTAACTTAAATGATTTTAGCAAATGGCTGCAATATAACAAAGAGTGAAAAATTGAAGGGGGTCTGAATACTTTCCGTACCCACTGTATATCTATTATAGACATTATTGTATTGCAGCTTTTATTGTGTTTATTGGAAGTCATTTTATTTTTATATTATGTTAGTAATAAGTAATTTTCTTTGTTATTTAGCAATGTTCTGAGTTCAATACAATCTTAATATGGTATATTTCCACATTTTCACAAAATTGAAATTAAGATAACTGTATATAAATGTATAATTATATAATTAATTATAAATAAATATAATTTAAAAATAATTGTATATTAAATAATATTAATGTGTGTAATTATAATTTAAAAAAAATCATTTTAATAGTAAAATTCTGTTTTAATAATATGAAAATACTATATATAAATTTATATTATATCATTCCTGCAACACTTTAATATATAATACTTATTATATTATATTATATATACTTACATTGTATTTTATTTTATTATATAATTATTACAATTATATAAATATATATTAATAAAAACGTATGCCTAATGTATAGGTATAATCTCTTTTTTTATAGTATAATTGTTTATCATAGTTCAGAAAGCTCAGCAACGCATCAGGTGTAGCATTTATCAAACACACATGTAGGGAAGAGTCGGATGTGACCATCCGGCGGGTATAATTAGGGGGATGATGTCACTATAGGGTGATGGCAATAGGAACATCAGGCCATGATCACATCAAAGCCCTGTTGCCATGGCAACTAAGTGCGTTGTCACCCCCTGATTCCTAGAGATGGGTGAAAGAGGACAGTGAGATGAGTGTGAGCCGTGTGAGAGCGATGGACAAGGTGGTGTTGGTGTGATTGGTGAAATCAGAAACAAAGGGAGGGGGACGGGGGAGCAGTAAAAGGACACTGCACTATCGGACGTACATGTATGTATCTGATGAATATCCCATAGGGGTATATATTTTTGTGCCTGTGTGTGTCATCTAACATGGTTTTTCTCCTGCCTGTTGTCTTTTAGGACAGTGACGGAGACAAGAGTGAGGACAATCTTGTAGTAGATGTCTCAAATGAGGTCAGTTCACATGCACTGTTAAATTAACATTGGTGAAAGTCTGTACTTACAGTAGTGCTGTCAATCATCATCAATTGAAAACTGTAAATAATTTTATAATTAAATTCATTACATGATATGCTGATTAATAATACAATTATCTGCATATTTCACTAATTGCTGACAAAAGCCCCCAAATAAATATAAAGACATTACTGTGGTAAACAAGATTGAATAGATTTTACAAAAAGTGGGTTTTGATATACTGCATTGTTTATTGCTATTGTTCAGATGGTGGGAAAATACCTAATTACGGAATTTAGATCGTGCATAGGCTAAATATATGATAAACTAAATGAATGTGTTAAACTGACTGCCCATTTTGTGTCACAGCGAACTTTTATTTTTGTTTTAAATTGACATTTTTTTAAATTGATTTCTAGTAAGTGTTTAGTTTTTGCTTCGCTTTGCATTGTTTGGTTTTCTTATACATCAAAATTGACCTGATTCTTATTTTGCACAAATCATCAGTTCATTCAGCATATTGTTGCAAAAATTAAATTGTCTTCATAAACATTAATGAAAATGCAATAACTTTCTTTGCTGGTGAATATTAACCCAAGCCATAACTGGAGACCAGAATATAATAAAGACTTTGGGCTGGACCACAGCAAACACCCAAAACACCCTAGCATTGCGCTGGCAAGTCTCACACTGACTTTAATCTTAATGACAAATTTGTATTTGATTGTAGAACAGCACCAACAAATGCATTTCATCCTGCAAAAAACTCCTATTCATTATTATTATTATTTCTGTGTAATTATCATCCATTTCAAGGTGAAACATTACAGCTCTGTTTCTCAATTACCGGACAAATATTGAACATCACTCATATTTATTAAACTGCATTCATTCAGTAATTGCTGATAATATCACAGGCGACTCAGGATTGTTTTCTGCTGCAGAGCGTCTGGAGTCAGCGAGGACTGCGCGATGCTTTTATTATCATTAAGTGATCCCGCTGCATAATTAACACTTCAGTGATCTGAATTCCTGCAATATCCCACATCAAGGATTAAACTAGAACTGTCTTCTGTTTTGTCAACTGTTTTGTCATTTACTACTGAGTTAACACAGATGGCATAATGAAAAATATGAATGGATCAGACCTTGCTCTGTTGCAGGTTAACAAAGATAACTGTTATTTCAAACAAACCCTATTAACTCATACCACACCATCTAAAATGTAAAAAGAAAATTCACATATCTGAATGAAATCAAAATGCACTCATGTTCTTGATTCTCCTTAACTCTTTGACTCTGTGTTTCCAGGAGCCATCCTCTCCCGTAGACAGTGCCCCTCTGTCTCCACATGGGAATGGTTTGGATCGAGCCCCGACCCTGAGGAAAGAGCTCTCAGGATCCCCCAGCCCCCCTCCGTCCTCCCCACCACACAGTCCACCTCCTGGCAAAAACAAGGACACGGCACACGTACTTTTCTCAGACACCTAATATGCCAGAATTGCATATTACCAAGCATATTGCTTAACTTGTTTAATATTAAATGGTTGACTGTCTCTATCAGACGGTCATACTAAATATTATATGTACTGGTTTACGTTATGCTTATTTTAAATAAGCAGAGTTTCACAGTTGTTTTGTAATGGTGTTACTAAAATAATTTGATTTGTGTGTTTTTTGTTATTTTATAAATATCAAAAAAAAAAAAAAAAAAGGAAAAATTATTT